GCCTCTTCTGGCGGGGTGAACGGTCGGGGCTTCGCTGCGGGGGCGTTTTTCCCAGGTCGTGGGTGATGCGGGATAGTGGCACGCTGATCCGACCGAAATTTTCGGTGGGTGGCGGGGGGAGGAGGGCAAGCCGGCAACAAAACATTGCACGTGCAGTGGATACCTTAGCGCAGGCGTGTTTTCAGTTTCAAATGGTTTAAGCTCCACCACGCTGTGAGGAGGTAGAGCTGAACGGGTGTAGTGGAAGTAGCGGGTGGCCCTGATTAGAGGTGACGCTAGCACACCTAACAGCTTCTCATCTGCTGGCTCGGCTGTTGAGCTGGAGCTGTATGGCGTTACTCTTGTCACGACAGGTTTGTAAATTGATTTTGTTCAGGCGGTCGGATCATCCGAAGTTACAGCGGTAGGATCACCTCACTGTAGTTGTGCAATGCCTAACATCAAAGGTCAAGGAGTTTCTTTAAGGCACAGACTGAGAACAGGTTAAGACTGGGAAGAAGTCAAAGAGATAAATGTGCAGCCAGAGATTGACAGAGAGTTTGGAAAGGCTTTATGTGGCTTATTAGTCAGTGCACTTGGTGGCAACACTTGATAAAAATTGGAAGATTTTCATCTAAATTGTGTAGCATATCTGAAGTTTGTATGTATAAAGCTAGTATCTTCATAACTGGTCATCAGTTTTTCTTTAATATAGAATCTTAATTTAGAGCCATTCACTGCTTTTGTTTTTGCAAAGTCAGTACTGCTAACTAACAGGAGTGTAAGTTGGCATTATTTGTTCTTGTAAATTATAAACAGGAGTATCGGGCAAATTCTTTACATATCTATAAGCAAGCTGTAAAAAGCATCACTGATGTAGCCAGCAGATTTCTGTGTTAGCAGCTATGCCTGGTGGGAAAGGAACTCATGCTTATTGTTTTCAGATCCCTGAGATTGCAGGGCATAGAAGTGAATCTGATGTTTTTTGTCTTGTTACCAGAATTCAGCTGGGGTGGAAGAAAGAAAGATGCAGCCTTCACAGTGTAGTTCATATGAATTTTAGACTTAAACATGCTTTAAAATCTCACCAACTGTTTGACTGCTAAGTGTGTTAGGAAGTAAATCCTAAATTTTTGCAAGCTTGTCACCATGCTTAACATGGTAAAATGCTTTAAATTTTGTGCAGGGACTTGTTCTTCCTGTGACACAGAATAAAGATTTGAAGACATGTTGAATGGGACAGGTCCCAGGTTAGATCCCTTTGATACCCACTTGTTACTGGCCTCCAGGCAGCATATGACTCATCAACCGCCGTGCTCTGAGCTCAACTATACAACTTTTTTTTAACCTATCTGGTCTTCTACCTAACCAGACCGTAGTATGTTAACTCAGATACGAAAATATTGTGAGAAATGTTGTTAAAAGTCTTGCTAAAGTAAAGGACGTTTACTGCTGTCCCCTTGACCACAAATCCTTTCATTTTATCGGAGAAGGCCCAGCTGGGTCAAGCATGATTTCTTTTTGGTATATTCGTGGTGACAGTTTCCAGTCACCTTGTTTAAATATGCTCCGTGAGGACTTGATCCATGATTTTCCCAAGGGCCAAAATGAGGCTGACCAGACAGCTGTTTCCTCGATTGTCCTTTTGGGCTTTCTTGAAGATGAGTGCAACGTTTGCTTTCGTCTGGTTGTCAGAGTTCTCCACTGATCTCCCTGACTTTCTGAAGACAGCAGAGTGGCCTTGCAGGGACATCAGGCAGTGCTCTGTGGATGTGTATGGATCAAGTCCTCTCAAGTAATTCCTGATTTGATTGTCATCTACTGCTAGTTGTTCTCCTTCCTTTTGAGCCCTGTTCCTAAGCGCAGAGGCCTGGGCAACCTCATTGGTGGAGACTGAGGCAAGAAGACATCGAGCACCTCAACCTACCTGTGTCCACTGTCACTGAATCACTTGACCCATGGAGCAACAGACTTGCATATTCCTTGTCCAGCCTCTTGCTACCAATGTAACAGTAGGAGCTCTTGTTACCTTTGCCCCTTGCAAGCCTCAGCTGCAGCTGAGCTTTGGCTTTCCTGATATCACCCCTGTGTATCCAGGCAGTATTTCTAATTCGTCCTTTTTAGCCTGTCCTTATGTTTTTTGCTTAGTCATGCCAGTCTCCTGATACATCTGTTTGTCTTCCTGAGTGTCAGAATGGGCCATTCTAGTGCGTGGAGGGGCTTAGCCCTACCAGCTTTCCAGAACTCCTTTGCCCTTCAGAGATGGATACCTTAGGATCTCATTTACCAGTTCCCTGAAGAAAGCGGAGTCTGCCTGCCTCATGTGTGGGATATGTGCTCTGCTACGCTCCTTCATCGCTCCGCACAGGATCTTGAACCCTTTCATGGTTATCGCAAGCTAAGGCTGCCATAAGTTACTGCGTCCCCAGCCAGTTCTTTCCTATTACTGAGTAGCAGATTCAGCTGTCTTTCACCTCCAGTTGGCCTATTCAGTACGTATATGCAGAAGTTCTTCCCAGCACCATCCAGAAATCTTCTAGACTGTCTTCACCCTGCTCTGGCATCCTTCTAGTAAGTGTCAAAGAGGTTAAACTCCCTCATGAGAACCAGGATCTGTGATCCGCAGGCTTCCTCTAGTTCTTGGAAAGAAGCTTTGTCGCATTCTTCACCTTAATCCCTCTTTCTGGCCTCTCCTGTGATCCTGAGCCACAGGTTCTCAGCTAGCCTCTCATCTCTCGCTTTGAAGATTTCCATACATCTGAGCTGTGCCCTCACGTAGATGGCAAACACTCCCTGCTGCATCTTCCCTACCTGCATCTTCTGAAAAGATGGTATCCATCCATCCAGCGCTCCTCCATTAGCATGCTAGCTGTCCAGCTATGTCTCGGTCATTCCAATGATATTGTAGTTCTGTGATCGCACACGGACTTCCTGCTTGTTTTCCGGGCCGTGTGCATTTGTGTGTATACATTTGAAGTGGGCCCCCTTTGACCCTATGTAGACCTTCCTGAAGTCTATCTCATACCTCTCCCCCTGCATCCTTTGTTTTCTACTCTGGTTTACCACTTTCTCCCTTGACTGTGTATTGTAACGTCCCTCCACTATCATTTTTAATTTAAAGTTCTCACCGTGTTGGCCAGCCTGTTAGCAAAAATGCTTTTGCCTCGTTTTCTCGTATGGATGCCATTTCTCTTTAGCAGTCCTTAGACCTCAGAGGTCCCATGATTGTAAAAGCTAAATCCGTGCCACTGACGAGAGCCGCACAACAAGAGCGGCAGTCGCTCCCCTTTTATACCCTAAGTTCAGTTTTTATTGAAGGTAAAAGCCGAATTCTGGCCTGATTTGACTCTTTAACACTATCAGTATATATAACCGAAATCAACATTTCTCGCTGTGTGTGTGACTAGACTTTAGGCAGTAGTTTTTTGTGATTTTGAGACTTTTTTTTTTCTTTCTGTGCTTCTCTGAGATCCAGTTCTACAGAAAAATGCTTTTTGAATTGGCACTTGCAGAGCTTCATTGACTTCCTGGGACTCTGCTGATGCCTAATAATATTTTTGCTGGGGCATACACCTCCCCATCTCAATTCTGTCTTTTGAAAGCAAACTCTTGTATTCCTTGACTTTGTTAGACAGAAAGAGGTGCTCAGTTTGCTGAGAGGAAACAGTGGCCTTGGAAAAGAAGAATAAGTAAAGTCTGCCACGGATGTAAAGGAATGCTAACGCAACCTTAGTCCTGTGTAGTCTTTAGTCCTGTGTTTGTGATGTGAGTGAAGGTTGAAGTTACTGTAGGGTTAAGTTTGTATGCATTCTTTAACTGGGTTTGAAAACTTTTTCCTTTTATTTTTTCAATAAATTTTGGAAAGCAACACAAGTTTTACAGAGAACACTGAAAAGTACATCCCTTCATTTAGAAAAACAGTTGTCTAAGAGGTTTTATTGTCAAATATGTTTTAAAGTAGACCTGAGAGGTTTTTTGGTCTTCAAAAATTCAGTAACATTATGTGGTAAGCCGCATATCCTTCTCAGACTCTAAAACCTGTATGTTTTTTTTCTCACAGGTTTTTATTGAACCCATTTTTAGTTAGATTAAGTATAGTTACTGGGAAACTACTGAGTTCAATGTAAAAAGTTTAACATAAAACAATTGCCAGTACACTTTTGGTTCTTGTGTTTAGCAGCCTGCACAGATTTTATGATTATGGACTAGAACTTTATATCACGTTAAAGCATTGGTTCTTTGTGTTCAGAGTGCTGGGACACATAAATTGGAGAGCTGTGTAGGTGTACTGTATCATTAGAACCTAGGATTTTGTTTTCACCATCTGCACTCCTTTTTCGTTGTTGTAGAACTTAGCAACTCAGTTGTAAACAACACGTTGAACCATTTCCCAAAAAGAGGGAAATGTAATAGGGTAACCTGTGTTACTATCCTGGTTTGTAGCACTTAGTCCTCTTACCTTCCATGGTGATACAGGGTTGTACTGCACTCTAGCTTCATCCATTTCTTTTGTATTTTTCAGACTTTTTTTAGTAAAATGAGCTGATTGGAAGAGCGCACCCGTTATTTTTGTCCTTGAAGAGCACTGAAAGTCAATGATTTATGATGTTTTACTTTCTTCTCCCTTTTCTTTACCCTCCACTCCCCATTCACTTTTAGGAAACTGGCAGGATGCACGCTCTTCATCACAGGTGCAAGCCGGGGCATTGGCAAAGCCATTGCCTTGAAAGCTGCCAAAGATGGTGCAAACATTGTGATAGCTGCCAAGACGGCTGAACCCCATCGTACTCTTCCAGGAACTATCTATACTGCTGCCGAAGAGAGTAAGTTGTAATAGATAAGGTTGCACTTCAGGTGCTGGGTTAGCTCTGTGTCTGAGCATAGCTGTCATACGTGAGGAGAAAATTGTTTAAACTCTCTGAGAACCAGTTCACCTTTAGTAAAATAAGCCTAATGCTTCTCTTGCCTCCCAAGAGTGCTATGAGGTATCAAAATATTACTTTAATGAAGGTGTATGTACTCAGATGTGAAAAAATTACGTTAATGAAGATGTTTGTATGTAACCACACTCGATCTCAGTGTTAGGATATGGCTTTAGCTTTTCTGTTCTTCAAGAAATATGTACAAAGGAAGTGGTGTAGGTCTGTAATACTTGGGTAAGGTCACAGTTTGAAAATATGATTTTTTTTTTTGTTTTTTGCTGTCATCTTGAAACATTTCATTGGATGAGACTTTCTTAGTAGTTTCATAGGTTTTGTTCAATTTGAGAGCAAATTTTTGAGTGTTTTACTTTCTAACTGTGCAGTTGAAGCGGCTGGAGGAAAGGCACTGCCATGCATTGTTAATGTGAGAGAAGAGGAGCAAATCATTAATGCTGTGGAGAAAGCTGTGAAGACTTTTGGAGGTATGCTAAGGTGTGGGGAGAAGGTATTAGTTGACAGGCAGATCTTTCAAATTTTTGAATAGGAATAAAAAAGAACAGCCTGTCTTGCTAATGCTTTATATCTTAAAATGTTGACATGAGACTATTTGTTTTAAAACCAGGCATTGATATTTTGGTGAACAACGCAAGTGCCATCTCTTTGTCTGGCACTTTAGAAACAGAAACAAGGAAGGCCAATCTTATGATGGATGTCAATGTACGAGGAACCTTCCTTACGTAAGTGCTGAGAGAGGGAAACAGTAATAGTTATACAGTTTCCTGCATAAACTGAGGTGACAATTAAATTCTCTAACTGTTTCACTAACCTAGAGTTTGAGTGAAGGTATTGTACGGATTCACAAAAAATAGTTTGATTACTGACTGATTAAAAAAAATCTATAGGACAACACTGATTCGCTATTTTAAATTGTTACTTGATGTGATCAGGGTCTCTTATATCAGAGCAGTTTAATCTAGAATAATGCCTGTCATTCCACTTCATACAGATGAATCTGGTTATCAGACGTGATTATATTCCTTAAAATTCTGCTGTATGAAATCGGTGAAGGGATTTGCCATTGAAGTAGTTCAAAAATTGGCATGCGTAACACTCTTCTGAACTAGAAAGACACCTGCATGGTATGTAGAAAGAGGGAGTGAGACAGAAATATCAAACTCTGCAAGCATTTCTTACTTCCACCGTATGTTGTCTACCTCCGAAAGTCTGTGAGTGTGAGTGGCTCCATGCTCACAAGGGAACGTGGTCTTTGGAGCTTAGTATTCAAGAAAAATATGGATGTCCCATGCCAGATCTCTGAGTAGGTTCCACAGTATTGTTACTGGCAAACTCTTTTTCCTTAAGTGACAATCACTTTCCTGTTGATGGCATCTACCTATTCCAAATTGGAGGAGAACTCTTAAGAGTCGTCTTTCCTTTGGGTGCTCCTCTGCCATAGAAAAAGAGGGGAAAATGACATATTGCTGCAAATGGAAAAATACATGAAAGGTTAATAATACTTCTTAAGGAAAGTTATGGATGGCCTTTGTCACTGCTTTTATAATCATCAACTGGAAAGACTTAGCCAAACACTTCAGCCTTTTCATCTTGCTTTCTGTGTAGATTCTTCAGTAATTTGAAGAGATTTGTTGCCAATTTAATATTGAGAATGTTATACTAGCTAGAAAAAAAAATGGTGTGAGTTTTTTCATCTGTGTGGAAGAGGTATGAGGGACATCTCATCTTACAGAATATATCTGTTGGCATGTTCTCAGTTCAGGTGCGTTAAGGAAATGTGATGCATCTGTTAATGAACTTCACACTGTTGCTGAAAAGAGTTGGAACCCCAGTGTGTTTCAGTGGTAAAAGACAGTGTTTGGTTTTAATGACTTTGCAGTTGTAGGTACCACTTCTGTGACTGGTATGCATATATCCGGCTGAAATGTGTAAATAGTAGGTAGGCAGTATAGTCCGCTGCAGTCCTGTCATCCCTATGAATCTTAATTTAAAAATCCTGTTGCTTGCCAGCAGAGATCAAATGCAAACATGCACCCTACTTGTAGAATTGAGGTCAAATAACAGTTTTCTATAAAGTGAAAGCTATGATTTACAGGTACATGTTCCCCTTTAACCCTGTAAATTCTAAGTTAAAGGATAACTCTTCCAGTCAGCAGAGCATAGGTTTTCAGTTTTGCTTGTGATAATGAAAGGTTATTACAAATATTCCGTATGTGCATTGTTTCGCTATTATTTCTCTAACATGATTTTAAAGAAGAAATATATGTGCAATCAGAAGAGAGATTTATGACTAAGGGCACACTGCGCTGACAATTTGACTTGGTCCCTTGTGTGGTTTTGTTGCCCCTTCCAGAACTATTATAAGGAGATTATGGCTTCTGAGCACTTGGAAAACTTGCTTTCGGTAGCTGCAGCAGCACTATTTGGAGGATGTGGCTCACTTCTCAGGTGTGAATACTGTGCCTGAAATAAATGAGATAGAACAAATTTTTTTTTTTTGGTTATTGTACTTTGTAAGAGTTAACCAAATAATTAGCGTAAGAGCAGGATCTTAGCTTAGTGTAGGACCTTTGAAAATAGGGTTGGGTCTGATAGAATGTTTTTGCTGTCTTCCATAAAATAAAAGTTACTGACTTGTTCTGGCTTTTACCTTTCAGGTCTAAAGTATGCCTTCCTTACTTGAGAAAGAGTAAGAACGCCCACATCCTGAACCTCAGCCCACCTCTTAATCTGAATCCCATCTGGTTCAAAAATCATTGCGGTAAGTAGTGTTCAGTGTCTTTGTTTTTATTTATTTCTTAATAATTATATAAAAACCTGATGAAATGTGCAGGAGTGACAGCCCATAATGCCTGATTTTGTATTTTTAGCTATTATGCACTGGCACTAACAGTTCCCCAGTATGTTCTGTAGCTCACCTGAAAGGAGTTGTTTGTGGGAGGAAGTAATGTGGGTTTCGTGGCCCAGTATATCCTTTAAGTTTTCAGGAAAGCTGTGTAGGTAAGAGTCTGTGCTCTTTCTGGGGAATCTTAAGACTTCATGTTTTTTGTTCCAAACAGAGATAGAAAATCAAAGTCTGTTTTCTTTCTGCTTCAGTTTTGCTTTTGATTTAACACAGAGAAAA